GGGGGGGCACGAACAGACAAATTACTTGAAAACCAGGTTACAATGCTATTACTCTGCCAACAGAGTTCTTATGTACAAGTAACTTTTTAAAGAATGAGGTAACAACCTGGGGAACTTCCAAACACTAAACAGATAATTACACTGAGATTATATTTCTGATTTGAAATTAGCACACCACTTACATGCAAAAATGGAAGGAACACTTCCTTATATTCATAACCTAGTCTCAAGTCAAACAGCCTTGATGATTTAAGAAACTGTCCATTCTTAAGCCGCAAAAAAATGCTGCTTTCATCAAGTTCTTTTTGACTAACCACAACTCATTATTACTTTCTAGTTAACTGTGGCACTAACCTTAACTCTGACTTTTATTTTTTAATTTTTTTGGTACCAGGGCTCAAACTCAGGGCCTTGTGCTTTCGAGGCAGGCACGGTGCCACTGAGCCAAATCCCTGGCCCGATCTGATTTTTAAAAATTAAACTTACTTTTTAGGCAATTTTGAATTTTAAAAAATAGCACTTCTAGCACCTGCCTGGCAAGTGCAAGGTCCTGAGTTCGATCCCTGGTACCAAAACAAAACAAAAAATCACATCTAAAAATAGCACTTCTAAACACAAATTAACCATTTCCGTATTTAATTGCTCCTAAAAATTAAAGTGTATTCTATTTCATTAAATGTACCATATAAAAAGATATCTACAAAGTTAAAGAAATGTATGACTAGCATATAAAGATTTTTATTCCAATTTAACAGTTTCAAACATCCTATTTATACAGTTAAATAATCCTTAAATTTGGTTGTAAAGTTGCCTGTTAATGCGACACTAAGTTTTACAATGTTATCCAGCCCATGTCAACTAACAAAGCTGGACGCTGTTAAGCTTCAGAATTAAGTATTTTCAAACTAACTAATAGTTGAGAACTTTCCATTCATGATTTTACAACTACTCAATTCACAGAATCACTGTAAGGCTGAAAAATAAGCATACTCTCACCATTCTTTAACCTAACATTTAAAAGTAACAACTTAGTATACACTTACAAAAATCACTTGTGCTAATTCACATTAGGAATTTTAAATTACCTTCTCCTTGAACACAAAGGCAATATACATCTTGAAGTCAAACTGGTCAGCTAGAGATTCTTTTTTCTTTCTAAGCTGAGCACGTAGTCTGTTCAGAGCTTGTTTCTTCCGGGAGTTTGGGTCCCCCATTTTGAAATACAGGTGGTACTAAAGCCTTTGGAAATTGTCACTAAACTATGGGCACTTTTTCTTAAGACTCAAGTACAACAGAAACAAGTCATTTTTCCCTGCTAATATAACTGAATAGCTAAAATCGCAAGTGTAACCCCAAAACTGCACCTTCTGGCAATATTAGCAGACTGTCATATTACAGGGCCAAGAAACAAAAGCTGCTGTCCAGTCATGTTTGGACCATAATATCCGGGGTCAGATGGAAAGACAGGAAGGAAAAAAAAAGAGGAGAAAATACTTCAACTAACTTTCTGGAAAACACATTTGGCTTGAATGCCAAAATAAAGGCTTTGAGGGGCAATGAAAAGCCTGTTATCAGGATTTAGGTGTGCAATAAAACACAGCTAACACCAGTCCAATACTTTAAATCCATTCGGATTTTTCTCCTTTTAGAAATGGGATTAAGAAAAGAAATGGGAAGAGGAAAAGTGTGATCTTTGCTTTCCAAATATCAAAAAAAAAAAAAAAAAAAGTAAATCAAAAACAAAACACCAAAACAGGGTAGGTGAATGAAACTGAAATACCCAATTGGATTTTACCCAGCCAGATCCATGGCTGTAGTACCTAATTCTTAGTTATTTCAGATTTCACTATTGCTATGTATTGTCAGTGCTTGTTATTGATTACACTTGGTGGTGAGCAAAGAGAAAAGTGCAAAATCAGTAGAGAAAGAAGGGGAGAGGTACAGGGTTTCCCTGCAATCAACTACAGTGTATGCTGAGGGCGGACAGCTGTTGCCCAAAGGAGCCATGAGAAAAAACAGCGGAGTCATTACCAAATTCCCCATCACCCACATTTTCACTCGCAGGCGGCTGCTAATGCTGCTGCCAAGGAGAATCATGATGGCAGAGGGAAAGGGGGCTTATTATATGATATTAGTAATTATTCCGGCTCTGTAGTTAGACCTGATTAATGCCCAGGATCCCGACACCCTCAGCCTTGCGATGAGCTCTACATTCCCCAAGGGAGCCTTCCCTAAGAATGTGCCCCCGTTCAAGATGGTGGGGAGGGCGACTTATCTCCCAGTGAGCATTGCTGAGGCAAAGGCAGCGGGTTCTCCCAAGTCCCAGGCGGTGCCAGGGGACCACCTGCCTTCCACTCCCCAATTCCCACCCCCACCCCTTGCCTTCAGCGGCAGCGACTCACTCGCACCACGGGAGACACGCGATCACTCGGGTTCTCACTCATTTCATCTTGGAAACAATTCCCGCCCGGATAGAGTAGGCGGGAAAGGGCAAATGGGAAGGATTCAAGTGGGAAGTAAAGAAAATAGCTGTGTTAATATTACTTTGTTAAAGTCAGCCCACCAACCCACCCCCCAAAAATTTGAAGTTCCCGGATTCTGGACTCGCTTTCTGGCTCAACAGCTCATGTTTCCAGAGTGTGGATGGCTCGGGGTGGGGTCGTGCGTTCGCTTCCCGAGGGGGGAGAGGGCGGAATCGAGGCGGGCGGCGGGACGGTCCCCTCCCTGTCCCCGGGGGCCGGGACTCACGGGCCGACTCGGGCGGGCGCGGGCCTCTAGCCGCAGCCTGCGGGCGGAGCGGTGGCGGTGGCGGAGGCAGAGGCGGCGGCGGCGGCGGGGGCGCTGCTCGCAGCTCGGGCGGGAGCCATGTCAAGAGAACACCACCAGCCAACTGGGCCCCTCCATCCCCGCCGCAGTGCGCACGGTAACCCGGCCGCCCGCGCTGCTGCCGCCACTCAGCCCCTGCCTGGGACCCATAGTCTGGCTCGGCGCCCCGGCGGCGACGGAGAAAGGACGCGGGGGAGAGGCGGCGGGAAGAGGAGACAGATGTCTAGAAAGAAGGTCGGAGAGGAGCTGGAGGGGGAGGGGAGGCGGGGAGCCCTGCGCTAAGGGATCCGTCAGCGAAGTCAACCCCCAAAATAAAGTTATTTCAGTTCAAGCATCTGCTATGGAGTCCTTCTTCTGCCACAGTCGGGTTCCGGCTCAGCAAAGAAGGTCGAAGAGACCCAGAGGGGTGAAAAGCCGAAGCGGATGGCGAGCGTCCGCGATGGCACAGGCTCGTTACCCCTGACCGGTGGCTGCGGAAGCCGCGGTAGCCTCGGGCGCCTCCCGGGTCCGGGGCAGAGTCGCGTTTGAGAAAAGCAGTAAGAACAAACAACTTAAAATGGCAGCGACGGCCCTGCGTCACCCGCCCCTCAGCGGCACCGCCCCGAGTCGACTGCGGCTGCGCGCAGCCTGGGCCCGCACCATCTGCTCAAAAGCGGGGGGCGAGACAGGTTGGAGGCGAGACGATTTTCCTGGTTACCAAGGAAAAAGGAGAGAAAGTCAAGAGAAAATGATGGATCTACACTTTTAAGTGAGTAATTCTGGGAGATAAGGGCTCTCATTTAACATTCCTGGCTTCAAGGGAAGTTTGAAAATATGGGCTTCCCTCTCCTTCAATATGGAGTTTTCCTGGGCGGGGAAAGGAGCTCCCGCCACTCCCTCCACCCCGCCGTCCGGACGTCCCAGTATCCCGAGTTGGCGCCTCGCCCCGTCCTTCCGAACGTCATAAAGCCACGCCGTTACGTCCTACTGACAAAAGCACCCGGATTCAGTGTCCCCATCCGGGTGTGATCGGCTGTTGGGACTCTGGGCGCGGAACGGAGATGATAGTTTGAGTGGGCAGCGAGCTGGCGAGAGCAGGAGTGAAGGAGGAAGAGGAAAGTGCAGTGGGAGATGGAAAGAAGATTCTCAGTTCATTGTTGTGGTGGGTAGCCCTTCCGGGAACTAAGGGTTGACTTCAGCGCGTCGCAGAGAATGTGTCGCGGTGGTCTCCCGCGTCCCGGGAGCCTGAGTCCGCCCCGCCACGTGCGCGGGCAGCGAGGGCTGCCTGGGGCCGGGAACAAGGTCAAAGTCTGGGGGTGAGGGGGCGGGGTGCAGCTGTGGCGGAGGATCGAGGCAGCCGAACCTGAGCCGTGGATTTTTTCTTAGTGCAGAGGAACACAGTTTCTGTTAGTGTCCCCCGGGACCTCAGACCTAAATCCTGTCCCTTATGAGGCTGTCTTCGTCCTCAAAATGTAGAGGGACGTTTGTCGCTGAATCAACGTCCTTGACACCAAAGTACATTGGGTCCTTTTCCAGCTTTGACTCATTAGCGCAGTTATATAAGTAATCAGTAAAGGTCAATACTCCACATTAGCAAAGCCCGCGGAGTTGGCTACTCTGTGATAATTTTAGAAGTCCAGCTCCCAAATTACTGCAAACTTGGTAAAATAAATATGTATTAGTTATAAAAACTTTTTTCTTTTAACTTGTGAGCCAAAGGGATAAATTCTGAGTCTCGACTACTGTGAAACAGAATTGGATGTAACTGGTCAAAAACAGCGAATTCTAGCACCTTCCTGTGGGACTATGCCAGTTCTTAGTAAGATGAGCCCAGAAATAGCAGCAGTTATTAAGCAGTTAGCAAGAAAACATTTCTAGTTCAATTTTCTCTAACTTGGAAAGGCTGAAATCAGAAAAAAATCAATTTGAAAAGTCATGACCATAACGTTCCTCAATGAAAGTCAGAACTCGCTTGAGATTTAGCTAACCAACTATGCGGGAAAAGTGCACCTTATTATGACATGCCCTCATTATGACTTAGAATTTGTGGAACAACAGTGATAGGTAGCATCTTGACTAAAAATATCTGTTTAATTTCTCAATTTTTAAAGTACACCATTAGATACATTGTGACATACTGAAACTTTCTTGGTTGAAATTTAGATTTCACAGTAAAGGGTTCGTTTTAATGTGATAACCCCAGGTAAAGATTCTGTGCCGGCTTCCTGAAGAAAGAATCCAGACTAGTCTAGGCAGGCATTTCCTTAACAACCATGGATATCCCAGTCTGTATTTATAGCAAGTCAAGAAATGATTGCTCAAGCATGTGCTTACCTCAACCATGTGCTTACGTAGCCTAAATACATTACAGTAAGATAGCCAATAAATTATTTAATAACTTTCCAAAAGAACCAGCCTTTTACCTTTAAAATGTACATTGTACACATGCTCTTATCTCACAAAAATTGAGATTTCACAAATTCCCACTCCCATTCATACTTATCCCCAGCAAATATACTAGATTTTTCGGGAGTTCACAAATATTTTCCCCTTTCATTAGTGCCCTGAAGTTTATCAAATAAGGGCCTTGATTTGGAGCCATATGCATGATTAACAGTTTTAATAAGCATGATAAACATCTACACAGAACAAGTCTATGCTTAAACTCTACAGGCCTAGAAAAGGATGTAGTTTGGATACGCTACAGTTTGATCCTAAAAGTAGAAGTGCCAGGAGCCTTATCTCCAGATTGGAACCTTACATTTACATTTAAGATAAGGCTGAGAATATGAGCTAATGCGATGTTCCAGTGCAGCAGGGATTATTGACAGCCTAGACTCTAGTGCCTCCCCTGCCCCAAATCTACAACAGTGATATGGTTACAAAATGGATGTAAAAATGAGGAGTTAAGTTTGTTTTGAAGCCTTTGCTTACTCCTTTTGGAAGTCCTAGGGACATAATTTGTTAATTTGTCCTTCAATCTCATCCTAATTTGACATAGGCCCAAACTGTAGAGTTGAGTACTTCAGGCTGGTAATTGAGTTGGTTTTAATTTTTTTTTCTTTTCCTTTTTGAAAGAGTATATGTTGCCCAGATGGGCCTGGAACTCCCCTGCTCAAAAGATCCCTCTGCATCAGCTTCCTGAGTACTAGGAATGGAAATGTGCACCTGCTCCAGACTCACGATCTTTGAATATTTACTGAGGACCCAAAGCACGTTGTAGGCCTAGAAATTGAGATTTAGTCAGGTAAACAACTATTGTCCCAGAGTTTGGAACAGGGTTAAGAATTGGAGGGATCTGCTGGTGAGCACTTCTACACTACCGTGTATCTATTTTTAACCGTTTCTTCCTCTCTTCCCTCTCATGCCTTTTCTTTTTTTCTGCTTCTTGTGCTTTATGGTTGTCAGCATTATCCAAAAGTATTACTCACACAACATCTGTTTACACTTTGGATTAAAGAGGTACAAATTGCTGTAATCTGCCGGTACCATTTGAGAAGCATTTTTACCCATTATTGTTGCCTGATAATCTCAATTTATTATCAAAACTTTTTTTTTTTCAAACAGAGGGCCTCACATGTTCTAGGCAAGCTCTCTACCACTGAGGTACATCCCTAGCTCTTTATCAAGACAGGGTTTCACTAAATTGCCTAAATTAGCTTCAAATTCTCAATCCTCCTACCTCAGCTTCCCAAGTTGTTAGAATATAGGCATGTGCCACCACTCAAAAACATTTTTCATTTTCCCTGACCCCTGGCCTGCAATGGCTTTTGCTTTTTGACTGTTTTCTAACCTCATTTCAAAGGTCTTCTTGATTCCATATGTTACTCCCACTATGTAAAATGCTATTACTATTACACTTAATGTATCTAGGAAGATTAAAGTGGATTGGGATTTGAGTTCCTGGCACTTTGTTAGAAATGCTATGTTACCTTTAGAAATTAAATGTTAAAATATAAAGTGTTCGCTCCATTCATTCTACCCTATTCCTGCATACAAAGAACTTAAAGCAAATTTGAGCAGTTAACATATCAATAAAATTTTAAATATTTAAAGAATTTTTAAATTCCTTCTTAGAGTTTCACTTTTCACATTTCACCTTTTACTCCATAAAAATTAGGTACAAAAAAGGAAACAGGAGAAATATATGTGCCTGCCAGCTAGTACAGGGGAGACCCCAGAAAGTTGGAGAGCCAAGAATGTGGAACATCTAAGGAAAGCCACAAAGAGTGAGCAAAGCCAGCCCTAGAGAGAAGTCATGAGGGCTACAAATCACCAATTTTACTCCACAAAAATTAGGTGATGAAAAGGAAATGAGAAAAATACATATATATCTCCAAACCAAATTTATCATATGCAGAATAATTTCATCCACATGTAGGATAATTCCATTTGTCTACTCACACAAGTATACTGTACAGAAGTTTATAAATTATTTGATAAAAATACATGGGTGTGTGTATACCTGTGGGCAAATACATAAATATACAGGCAATCAGAGTGCTACTACTACACGTTTTCATTTGAACATTACATTCATTATTTCTCTTTTTTTCTTTTCTTGGTACCTCGAATTGAACTCAGGACCTTGCACTTGCCAAGCAGGTGTAATGCTGCAGAGCTACATCCCAGCCCCGGTATTCATTATTTCTGTAAAAAAATTACCCTAAATTTTATTAACATAAGACAAGAAACATTTACTATGTCATAATATTTATGGATCAGGAATTCAGGAGAGACTTCCTGGGTGCTTCAGGCTCAGCAGTCACCCGAGGTTGCAGTCAAAATGTTGACTGAGACTATAGGCATCTGAAGTGTTGATTTATGACTGCTGGCAGGAGGGAGACCTCAGTTTCTCACCTTGTGGCCTGTGATGGTTAATTGTGATGCCAATGTGAATGGATTAAGAAACACCTAACAGATTAGTGGAGCTCAGTTCTGGTGTGTCTGTGGATGATTGACATGTAGGCCACAAACTGAGGAGGGAAGACTCAACCTGGATGTGGGTGGGACAAACCAATAGGCAAGTAGCCTGGATGGAATAAAAAGGGAAAGAAGCAGCTCTTTACAGGAGCTACAGCCTTTGCCATTGCATTTGGACATTCATCTTCATTTCTTTTGGCTTCTAACACACTTTTTAGCCTTCCAACACATATCCTTCAGCTTTCTGACACAGACTTGCACCTGCCTCTGCAGTAAGCTCTAGGCCTTTGACTTTTAACTGGATCCTCTGATTCTCGAGCATGCAGATGGCCATTTTGTATTTCTTCCACCCCTGACTACAGGTGACCATTGAAAGCTTACTTAGTAAATCTTTTACATATCATATATATTTATTCAGTCTGTTCCTTTAGTGCAGCCTAAGTGGTACAAATTTTGGTATCAGAGAAGTGAGGTTGTTGCTGTGGTGCTACCTGACCATGTAGTTCTGAAGCCTATGGAACAGGTTCATGGAAGAAGTTTGGAAAGGTTTGGAGGTGTGGCCTAGAGAAGCCCTAGAATGCTGTAAGCCAAGCATGGTGGGATATTCTGGTCAGAATGAAGAATACCAGACTGCTGATAAAACTAGTTATATACAGAATTGCTGAAAAGATTAGCATTAAAAAAAAGCTAAGTACATTAAAACAAGATGCTAGGAAAAATGCTTTGAGGACACATGGGGAGCCAGCAAGGCCTCATTCTTTAGGAGCTCAGAATTCCAAAAGTGAAAGACTTTGCTCTGAGCGCTCCAGGGCACTATGCTGGACAAAGGCTACCTAGGGAATTTTTTCCCCTGGGATTTACTTTATAGTGCTCAGCCATCTAGGCATTTGACTTCTAAAGCCATAATTCAAGGGAGTCCAGCTACTGCTCAAGTTGGTAGCAGACTTTAGTGTCATCTGTATGATCTTGGTTTTAGGGGGATGCAGCATGCAAAAGTTGTGGGGTCAGGAAGCTTCCTACCCAGATTTCAGAAGGCCTGGGAAGCCAGACAGTTTGGCCCTGAGAAGGCAGTGTGAGTCTGTAAGAGTGAAGCCAAAACTGCAGGGGAGACCCCAGAAAGCTGGAGAAGCCAGGAACATGGAACAGGTGAGGAAAGTTGCAAGGAGTGAGCAAAGCTAGCCCTAGAGAGAAGTCATAAGGTCTGTAGTCACCAGCAATGCTGTAGGGGCAGGGCTGCCT